ATGAGCTCAAGAGTGTGCCATAACATCATCATAATCAATCATCAATACAACCAAGACCCATTCTATGTACATGTTCTTTAAATGTCTTTGGTTGTAGACCTTTAGTCAACGAATCGGCAATCATAAGATCCGTTCTTATATGTTCAATGCACACTCTTCGTTTCTGAACTTCTTCCTTAACGACAAAAAACTTTAATTCCATGTGTTTTGCACCCTTGGAATATTTGTCGTTTTTGGAGAAGAAAACTGCTGCGGAATTATCACAATACAATTTCAACGGCTTGGTAATGGTGTCGACAACCCCAAGTCCCGAAATAAAGTTCCGCAGCCATAATGCATGAATTGTAGCCTCAAAACAAGCCACAAATTCAGCCTCCATGGTAGATGCAGCTATGACAGACTGCTTGGCACTTTTCCATGAAATTGCTCCTTCGGCGAGGAGAAAAACATAGCCAAACGTTGACTTGCGACTGTCAAGGCACCCAGCAAAATCTGAATCTGAATATCCAATCACCTCAAAGCGATCAGATTTCCTAAATGTGAGCATATGATCCTTCGTCCCTTGAAGGTATCTCATCACTTTCTTTGCAGCTTTCCAGTGATCCAGTCCAGGATTACTTTGACATCAGCCAAGCATTCCAACAGCGAAGCTAATATCAGGCCTCGTGCAAGTTTGCAAGTACATCAGACTGCCCACAACAGAAGCATATGGAATTGATTTCATACTCTTTCGTTCCACATCATTCTTAGGGCATTGCATAAGACTAAACTTGTCCCCTTTCTGTAATGGGACAACACTTGGTGAACAATTGTTCATACTAAATCTCTCAAGAATTTTCTCGATATATGTTTTTTGAGACAACCCCAACAATCCTTGTGATCTATTCCGGAATATTGAAATTCCAATCACATAGGATGCCTCTCCAATATCTTTCATTTCAAAATTCTTTGAGAGAAAATCTTTAGTCTCATGCAAAATTCCCAAATCATTAGCAGCAAGTAGGATATCGTCAACATATAGAACCAAAAATATAAACTTACTCCCACTTATCTTCTGGTATATACACCGATCAACAGTGTTCTCTTGAAAACCAAAAGACGTGATGGTATCACTAAACTTAATATACCATTGTCTGGAAGCTTGTTTAAGTCCATATATTGACTTCTTAAGTTTACACACCATGTGACCCTTTCCTTCTATGGAAAAACCTTCGGGTTGATCCATATAAACTTCCTCATCTAAGTCCCCATTAAGAAAAGCCGTTTTCACATCCATTTGATGTAACTCTAGATCATACTGAGCTACTAAAGCCATAATGATCCTCAAGGAATCTTTCTTAGAAACAGGTGAAAAAGTCTCTTTATAATCAATGCCATCTTTCTGAGTATAACCCTTGGCAACAAGTCTAGCTTTATGTCGTTTGATATTGCCATTTGAGTCGCGTTTGGTCTTAAAGACCCACTTACACCCAACTCGTTTTGAACTTTCTGGCAATTCTACTAGATCCCAAACATTGTTTTTAGCCATAGAGTTCAACTCTTCTTTCATAGCATCAATCCATTTACGAGACAAGTCACTGTTAATGGCTTGTGAAAACGAAACAGGATCTTCATCAATGCTAGTATCATAATCCAACTCTTGCAAATAAACCACATAGTAATCCGAAATAGCAGATCTTCTCACCCTTGTAGGTTTGCTTAATGCTATTCCACGTGGTTCATATATATTAGTTGGTGGCAAGTTAGTCTCTTCATGGGGTGCTACTTCATCCAAATTTTGTCCACCGTTATTTTGTGGTTGTGGAACAATATTTGGTACAACTGTGGATATTGGAACATTAATGGGTAATGGAACATCAACCCTTATTTCATTAATTTCCACAGTCTCTTTAGCACTCCCACTAACTTCACCATTTTCAATAAATCTAGCATTGCTCGTTTCAACGATTCTAGAACTATGATTAGGACAGTAAAACATATACCCTTTGGACTTCTCTGGGTAACCAATAAAGTAACCACTCACAGTTCGAGAATCCAATTTCTTTTCATGTGGGTTGTATACTCGTGCTTCTGCTGGACAACCCCAAACATGCAGGTGTCTCAAACTAGGTTTCCTTCCAGTCCATAACTCAAAAGGAGTTTTAGTACTGCCTTACTAGGAATCCTATTTAGCAGATAAACGGCAGTCTTAAGTGCATACATCCACAAAGATTTGGGTAATGATGTATTACTTATCATACTCCTAACCATATCAATTAATGTTCTATTTCGCCTTTCCGCTACACCATTTTGTTGAGGTGTGCCTGGCATAGTATACTGTGCACATATGCCATGTCTTTCAAGGAACTTAGCAAATGGACCGGGATTTTGTCCCGATTCATCATACCTTCCATAGTATTCACCACCTCTATCAGACCTTACTATTTTCACCTTTCTGTCTAACTGCCTTTCAACTTCATTAATGAAAACCTCAAGTGCATTTGCAGCTTGAGATTTTTCCTTCAGCAGATAGACATAACCATAACGTGAAAAATCGTCTATAAAGGTAATGAAATACTTTTCTCCATTAAAAGATGGAGCATCAAAAGGTCCACATATATCGGTGTGTATAATTTGAAGAAGCTGACTACTTCTTGTGGCTCCTTTCTTGTTATGTTTGGTTTGCTTTCTCTTAATGCAATCCACACACAACCCAAGATCGGTAAAATCTAGATCCAAAAGAATTTCATCTTTCACCAACCTTTGCATTCTTTCTTTGGATACATGACCCAAACGTTTATGCCACAAGAAAGCAGAGTTCTCATTCGCTACACCACGTTGAATTCCAATGTTTTGATGAACACACATTAAAGATGCAGAAAAATCAACATCAAGTTTCAGTTTATATAAACCATCCATAAGAATTCCAGAACCAATAACGGAATCATGTTTATCAAACAAATTGAAACATCCATGTCCAAACTTAAAAGAAAACCCAAGAACATCAAGTCTAGAAAAAGACATTAAGTTTCTAGAAAATGAAGGTACATAGAGAGTTTGTAAAAGATCCAGGTGGTGCCTAGAATCTAAAACAATACGATAAGTCCCTATTCCTTCAATTGGGGCCTTCATACGGTTCCCCATTAACAAAAAGTTCTCATTTGGGTTTATGTTCTGGATTGTAAGAAATCCCTGCATCACATTACAAACATGAGTTGTAGCACCAGAATCCAACCACCAAGTATTTGAAGGAACTTCAGACAAGTTTGATTCGAAACATACAAAGATATTAGAAATACCTTTCTTTTCAAACCAAGACTTGCGTTTCAGGCAATCTTTCTGTACGTGACCTTCTTTCTTACAGAAATAACATTTATTTGCCCGACTTTCCTTATTTTCATCATTAGTGACCTGTGAGACTTTAGCAGGTCCTTTCTTCTTAAACTTGTTGGATTTCGGTTTGAGAACATCATTAGCTCCTCGACCCACAAGGTTGACTGTATGAACTCCTTGTGCCTTAAGTCTCGTCTCTTCCTGAACATGCTTACTGGTCAATTCATTAACATCCCACTTATCCTTAATAGTGTTATAGTTAATTTGAAAAGGCCCATATTCAGGAGGCAACGAGTTAAGCATAAATTGCACCAGAAATGAGTCATCCACAGTCATACCCAGGGACTTAAGCCTTGCTGCAAGATTAGTCATGTCAAGAACATGTTGCTGCATACTACGCGAGCCATCATACTTTTTGGTCGTGAGTTCAGCCATAAGTGTTCCTGCCAATGACTTATC